TTTGTCTTTTAGTTCTTGCAGACATTTATATATTAGAGTACTTACTATAATTTTCCTTTACTTTAGGTTTTTACATTGTAAGTTTTATTGACATATAATTCACATCTCATACAATTCAGTAGTTTAAACATATTAAAAAGAGTTGTGTAATCATCACCACAATCAATTTTAGAACATTTTCATCTCGCTCATACTCATTATTATTAGCTCTCAACTTCCCCCCAATCTCCCTAAAGTGTAAAGATGTATAAAGATACAAATTATTATTGCTATTCTTAGATAGGAGCTACTCTCATGGGCATTTATGTGTTAGTCTCATGAGTGAAATAAGCAATCTAAATATGGTCCCAGGCACGACATTCCCCTAGCTATTAGTTTGTATCACTGAGAACTCCCATGCAAACAAGAAATTATAAAGAATGAAATTGGGCCAAATATTTCATGTATTTGATCAACCCACCTACCTATTATTTTCGGTTCTGAAAACGTAACGCATTTCATTGCTTTTGTGCTGTGAAGAGACATCAGCAATAACCTTGGGGCTAGAAGATGTGGGTCCCCGTTCCTGTTCTAACGGCAGCAAACCTGGATGCCCCTCCCAAGCTGCTTCACCTCTCGAGCCTCCATGTGTGTGTCTGTGGCTCGAGGGGCTGGGGCAAACCGTCAGGGCTTAGTCACCCCATGTCCTTGCTCCTGTATTGCCCCCCATCTAGGTTTCCACGAAGAAGTAAAGCTAGGTTATGAGTGTAAGCAGAGAAGGTGCTGTGCTGACCTCAGACAGGCTGAAAGTGCCCGTTGCAGAGAGAGTCGGCTGGTGATGAGCGTGTACCTTGTGGATTCCTGAACCACAAGGTTTTGTGAGAAAGGCACCCGATCCCTTCCCCCTGTTTGATTCTGCAGATGGACCTTTGGGTGTTCATGTTCCAGCTGCAGTTTTCTCCCTCGTCATCAGTCCAGGCCGCTCGTCTGATCCCTGATGTGCTTCTATGATCCAGGAGCTGAAGAGGCTGTCCTGTGCTTTGCTGTTTGGGTTTTGTGGGCTTGCTTAGGCCATTGGAGCTGGTTGATTTAAGAGACACACCCTTGATTTTGGGTCATTTAATCTTATGAAAAAGGAAATAGGATCACTTTATTTGAAAAAAAAAAATACAGGGCAGTTTTATTAAATTCCAGGGACACTTTGCTAGACATTGAGACTTAATCTTTTTGGATAATTTCATTATTTTACAACATTTTGACTTAAGTACTGCTATGTTTCCCGTGACCATTCTGATAACCACTGCCAAATTTTCCACCCAAGTCTGGACTCCTTTCGGTTAACAGTGAGTGTTATGTCTCAACTCTGAATATTAAGGATTTATCCTACAAGCTTTGGCACTCTTATACATGGATAGAGCATCTTGTTTTAATAACATTCTCTTGGTAATTAGTGCAATTCAGCGATTTCCCCCCTCCCAATATTTAATATCTATTTTTACTTGTGTTTTGTAAATTGCTTATTTATGACATTAGTCCATTTCTCCCCTGGGCAGTTATAATAAGTGTACCTTTGCTGTGCATGAACTGTTCAGTGGAAACATGAGGACGGGCAGTCTTGGACACCCACATGAGCAGGCGCTTCTCTGTTCTGTAGGGCTGCTAAGAGTCGGAATCGACCCGATGGCAGGGGAGATTTTACACAATGTCTACCACTGTACTTCATGTTGTGCCATAAAAAACTCTAATGAGGCTTCCACTCTGGGGGAGGAGGGAATAAAGAAAAATATCAGGTAGACATAGGAACATAAGAAAAAGGGATACAGTCAGTAATTGGGAAAGTTTTTGGAGGTGGTATTTGCGTTGGAACACAATTGATAAGAGCCTCTGGTAGAAGGGGGCCTTTTCGAGTGAGGGAAACAGTTAAGCCAGAGGTATGTGCAAGCTTTGGGGTGTCCCAGGCAGAGCAAGAGAGACAGAGGCTGTAGCCAAAAAGAGGGTTGGAGAAGTTGGCCGGCTCTGAGTATGCACAGCCCCAGTGGTTCAGGGGAATGAGTTTTGATTTCACTTTAAGTGTGTTGGGAAGTGATCGAAACTCTGTGCCGAGGAGTGGCATAATTTGATTTAAACTTAACAGGTTGTTGCTAGGTGACCATTGGGAGCAAGAGTGGAAGCAGATAGAGCCATGAAAAGACTAGTAACCGATCTCCCACCTATTGTGAGAGTGAGAAGGCTTGTTCTAAGCCCAGATGTCTTCCTGGGACACTACAGCTCCGTCAGTGACTGACTGACAAAACGCCCGCCACCTAGCTGTTGCCTCTAGGTGGTTCCGGCACTAACTCTGCATGTTCTAATAGTTCCCTGGGAGACGGGGTGGAAGCGAATCTCTAGCTGTGCGTTCATGAATTTAAAAATGAAACCAGTCTGCACAGTTGTGAGTTGTCTAGGTGTTATCCTAGGATAGGAGGATGGTGGGACTTCACAAAGCACTTGGGTGTTGTCAAAGGAACCCTAGTAGATGACATGTTGGGTTACTAACTGAAAGGTCGACAGTTTGAAACCATCAGTGGATCCGAGGGAGAAAGATGAGGCTTTCTACTCCTATAAAGATGTACACTTTTGGAAACCCCAAGGGGCAGTTCTGCCCTGCCCTACAGGGTCATTATGAGTTGGAACCAACTTGATAGATGTGATTTTGAGGGTTTTGTCAGGAAAATGCAAGGGTTAAGGTATTCATCAAAGAGTGATGTAAAGATAGGTGATGTAGGGAAATGAGAAAATGGCGAAGGAATGATGAGATTCATGGATTTGGGATCTGTATGAGGTTGAATAGTGATCCTCAAGGATAAGAGGAGAAGTTTAACATCACACTCAGAGATGTTAGACACTTCTATGATCACCGAGTCAAAAGTTTGACCATGATGAAAGCAGGAAGCCGAGGGATAAAGAAAACAATGATGTTGGATAGTCACCTGGGTCTTAAAATCCTCAACTTGGAAACAGGAGTAGGGGTATTTAAAAACCAAACCAAACCCAGAAAGAGTTGTCACCAAGTGAGTTCTGATG